CGAGAGTAGCTCGAACTCGACTTGACTCGTTTAGACCCCTAATCATAATCGATTTACTAGTTACATATAATTACATCTTAGGTCGACCTGTATTAAATACCTTCGAAGCTATAATCATGACTTACCATTTAAATGTCAAATTCTTTGAAGGCAGAGAAGTAGTTATCATCAGAGAAAACTTGATACAGTCTTAAGCTTGTTATTTATGGGCTATAGATAATGTATATGAGATCTTATAGCTCAAAACACAAAAGGAAAATGGTCTAAAGACTAATGAAGTCACCGAAGAAGTTGTTAATGTAGAAGAACTTGGAAGAACAATCCAACTAGGCACAACTTTTGATGTTAGACTGAGAGGCAAATTGATTGGAACTCTACACAAATGCAAAGATGTATTCGTCTGGTCATTTGATGAGATGCAAGGAGTTAATTTCGATATTGCATGTCATAAATTTAATATTGACCGCATAACTCAATTCATCAAACTGATGATGAGGTTAGTTGTAACTATAATTGTAGATCATATTCCCCAGTAAGTATGAAAACCACTCGACGTTGGTTTCATTAGAAAAGTCCAGTAGCCGGAGTGGATTGTCAATGTAGTGATGGTGCCAAATTTTAATGAAAAATGGAAGATGTGCATAGAGTTAAACAATTTGAACTCGAACCGCCCAAAAATTAGTTATCATTTGCTCATAACAGATGCTTTAGTCGACTCTGCAGTTGACTATTCAATTATGAGCTTCCTATATGCATTCTCCACTATCACTGGATCAAGATGCATCATACGGATTCTGAGAAAACTGCATGCATCAAAAGACTCGAACAGCCCAAAAATTAGTTATCATTTGCTCATAACATATGCTTTAGTCGACTCTGCAGTTGACTATTCAATTATGAGCTTCCTATATGCATTCTCCACTATCACTGGGTCAAGATGCATCATACGGATTCTGAGAAAACTGCATGCATCAGAAGACACAATGTTCATTGCTATAATGTGATGCCCTTTGGGCTTAAAAATGGTGGTGCAATTTATTAGAAAATAATGATTACAAAATTGTTTAGTTAAAAAGGAAAATGTATTGAAATATATGTGAATGGTGTACTTATTAAAAGTAAATTACTAAGACAATATATAACTGACTTAAGAGAAACTCTCTAACACTAAAAAAGTTCAATATGAAGCTCAATCCACTAAAATATACTTTTCGAGTTGGGTCGGATAAGTTTATTGGCTACCTACTCATTCAAGAAGACATTAAAATAAACCCAGGGAAAGTTAAAGCCATATTGGAAGTGTCTTCCCCTAGAAACACCAAAAAATTGAATAAACTAACAGACTGAATTCCTAGATTGAATTCCTTCATCTCGAAGTAAAGAAACAAATGTTCGACTTTCTTCAAATTCTTGAGTGTAAAGCATTGCGCCCTCAAGTCTAGCTTCTTCAGGATAGAGCGAATTATGGGTAAGCATCCTCCCCTCAAAATTATAGTATAAGAAGTTCTTCACCTTCAAATCGAACTCCTTCAAACTAGAGAAGCACTCACTTCCTCGGCAGTCAGCGATAACAGTGAGTTACAATTCATTGGGAATGGATGTGCCAGAGTAATGATTGGCCAACTACTTGCACGAGGCATGACAGTACCTTGCCTACCAATTCTTAATTTTGTTATCCATGTCGTATAGCTTGATGTCAGTCTCAAAAAATAAAACAAACCCATTCTTATAGAGCAACAACATTATTCATGAAATCTTATGCTTCCGCATATACAAAACTACCGCCAATATGCTTGCAAACGAGTTCGACATCCCCTATGCAGGGATGATACCATAGAGCTTGAAGATATCCAGTAATTCGTTGTAGAGGAAAATCACAACCCAAATCTAAATTGATCATTGTAAAAGAGGAGCTCATTGTCGAAAGTCATATTTGTTAGTTCTCCCTTTTGTGCATCAAACAACTTTATCTAATGGTTGAACACGAACTCAAACTATACTAAGTTTCTATCGTGTCTGAATGTTTGAATTAACAAGTGAACTCAAATGGCAAAAAAGCATGGCTGCTATTAGCGAATGCAGAACCCATTCTTTAAGCAAAAATTTGAGAGAAAAGATAAAAAAAAATGAAATAACAGAAGGCATAGAGAACCCTAGGGTTTTGAAGAAGACGGGCCTTGAAAATTGTTATCAATCGTCTTAGACGAGGGTAATAATCGTTGGGGCAATGTATTATAGGTAAAAACCATTAATTATTTTTTTTAAGACCGCACTTGATGGCAGAATGCAATTAAAACCATCAAATCAAAATTAGAAAATACTTCATTTTCTTACTTGAAAAAAATGATACAATTATTACATCATTTTATACAAAGCAACTTGCCATATTCACCTAGGTAGGCTCTCTCTATTTACAGAAGTAAGATGAACTTTAGAGAAGGGCCAGAAGTGAGTTTTAAGAGAACATTTTGTTCTCTATCAAGTGAACTGGTTCGAGCAAGTTAACTCCAAGAATCTTGGAAGCATCGGGAGCTTATCAATCATGTCGGACATCACTCTTTTCAACTCATCATAAGAGTTTCTCAACTTGGTCATGTTTTCTCTCTGCCTTGATAGTTTGTTGCGGCAATTTGACCTTATGCGCAGCAAAGGTCAACTTCAAATTATTCAATTCCAATGAGATTTCTTCAATCCTCAAACTTTCAAGATTTGCAACTATCTATGGAGAAACCAAAGTCACTTTGTATACCTCTTGCACTGTCTATTTTGGCAATGAAGTGAGAGATTTATTTATATCAGTAATCTGCACCCTAGTTGACTCCATGCCCTTGTTAGTCTCAATCCGAACTCGCTCATCATAAGGAGCATCTACAAAAACCGATAACTTTAAGGAGCGAGTTCTCATGCATAATCTCAAGTGAGCCATTTGGTAATTTAGCGGAAGGAGGAGCGACTTCCTCAAGGATATATCATTCAAGCTCCCTCTCCTCAGAGGCGAACTACTTTTCCTAAGGAGCATCTGCTTCGCTCAAGTTCAGTTTGCCAACTACATTTAATTAAACACGTTGGTCAACTAAATGCGCCTCACTTATTAATTTAGTAAACTTTAACTAGACTAAAAAACAAACTCATTAGACTTCATAGTGAATCAATTTTATAAGAATTTTTTCCACTTACAAAAAATGAGCATGCCCTTTGATTAAGAATCAATTTAAGCAAGAATTGATTGACCGCCAATTCATCTAAACTCAACCAACATCAGATTAGATTCTGATGGATTCAGGGCGTCTTCAAGAGTTAACAGAACCTCAGCCTGTGGAGACGTCTCAGAAATTGGAAGCTCGGGTAGAGGCACTGCAAAAGATGGTGGATCCACTGCATGCAAATCCTCTACAGAAGTTGGGAGATCAGGAGCAGGAAAGGCAAACAAAGTTGCCTCCAGGGGAATCTCAGCTTCTACTTTTCAATACTAACCTTCTTTTTTGTTTTTTATCTTTTTTTTCTTGTGTTTCCAAAACGTCTTGATGAGAACAACTTTGAGAATCCAATGGAGCCCGAGCCTCTTCAGCAAATAGCATATCATCAGAATGTGGAAGCGTCTCAAAAACTAGAAACTCAACTAGAGGCAGAGCAAAAGATGGTGGATCCACTGTATGCAAAGCCTCCACAAGAGTTGGGAGATCAGCAGTAGGAAGAGCTGAGGATGTTCCCTCAATGGAAATCTTAGCTTTTTCCTTTTCAATCCTCTACTTTTTTGAGTTTGATCCTCCTTTTTATCGTGTTTCCAAAACAATGGCAGAACAACTTCGAAAATCATGACCTTCTCTACAGGATCCTCCTCCATCTTTTGCAACAAAGAGAACTGAGGTAAAAGATGAACAAGAGAAAAGGACTTGACAGCAATAGCTTAACAAAAATACTTTCACCCTATTTATAAAGGGCTGGGAACATGATTTAGGTGTAAGTCAAAACATCATAAACAACTTTGTTTAGATGCATTTATTGTTAAAATAAAAATTATCATTATCTTATTCTTTTCATAATTATGCATTCAAAGAGATAATATAATAAGGGAACTGGATATGTATTGCCAATACTCTGGACTAGATTCAACTCAAACAATAAGTTAACTAAATAATTCAGCACACAACACGATCGAACAATCTGGCCACCCAATTCGGTCGAATAGCTCAATCAAAGTGCTCGGCCAATCAATTTAGCCTGTTAGCTGAGACAGTAGATCAAGAGACAAACTCAGTCAGTCATTTGCATCATTCGTTGTAGTGAGTTCCTAGCAAGTCATAGAGACTTCGTGAGCCCGCCCTAGAGCTGAATAGGCTCACAAGACACATAGGTCACATAGTTAACTATTTTATGTTATAATATATTCAATATTTTGTATGATTAGTTTTTATTTATTATGTAAAGTATGTAGCATATCTCGAGCCAGCTCAATTATAAATAGATGCAACTGCCACAAGGTGTGGTGGGAAATTTTGGAGGATTTTTTGAAGCTTATGAGATCCAATTCTTGAAGTCTTTTTTTGATACTAATAAAATCAAAATAGATTTTTACTCTTTATTCTTATTCTCTCATTCATAAAATTTTTATCTTCTTAGATAGCACTGTTCTATGTAATGTGTGCCCGTGGATATTTCAGGATTAAATATATGTTCATTTTTAAATATTTTAATGCATAACCATTATGTATTTCCCTCATGAGATCTACAGCTCTTTATTCAAATAGGTCAAAAAGGTAAAAGATTGTTTTGTGATTGAAGACTAATAGTATTTATCAACACTACAAGTATATAACTCAGTAAATATTACTTCCTTGATCGGTACTTCACTTCCTGCAAAAATAAATATCGTATGACAGGATCCTCCCATACAAGTGCAATAAATAATTCAATCTAAGTCATGATTCAGGAACAATATAATCATCCGACTAACAATTTCTAACCACTGCACATAATCGCGATACAGCTAAATCTTCTAGAGGATGGAAAGCTGAAGAATTTTCGTTTACCAAATAGATGAGTACAGAAAAGATCAAACCAAATAGGGCAATTACAACAAAATGCAAGTATTGCAACGGAAATAAAGCCACTGAGGCTCTCAAACAACTTTGATAACGTGCCCAGGTTTGATTTTCAACAAATTTATCAAAAATATCTTATCATGCATCTAAAACTAACAGACTTCAGCTACAACAGTGCCAAGATATCTTTTTCAAACAACTTTTCAAAACCCAAAACCATTCTCCAAGCAACATCATACACTTATTTTCTCCCTGGAATAAGATTCAAACTGGTATGTGATCACTTGAATGTTTACAAACCAAGATTTCAAGCAGCTTTACTGAGCACCCTTTCTGCTACAACTCATAATTCGGTTCCACAAAAGGATTAACTAGGATTGTCACTTCAAAATCACTGAATCACCAGTAGATATACTCTTCCTACACAGTTACTGATCTAACAGCAAGCTCGCATTTAACCTTTGAAATGAAATCAATCGATAAAACCATCGAACAAAGGACGGTTGTACCTGGTTCAGGTGCGGGTGCAGGAAGGATCGAAATCATCTGGAGCAACCCTGGCTATCCAGGTGCTCAAACTCTTCTTGATATCCCCATGTTGAACATAGGCCAACTCATACATGCTGCACAGGTTCACCACCAGCGTCTCGTTCAGCGCCGCAGTCGGCACCCTCTCCAATGTTCCCTCCAGTTGCTTAATCGAGTCCGACAAATCCCTGGAATAAAGCAAGCACAGAGCCTTATTGTTCGCAGCCACCACGTCAGTCGGATCCCTCTCTATGCACTCCTCATACTCCCTCACAGCCGAAACATAATCTTTCGACACCACAAACCCCAACGCTCGATTCCTCCCAACCAAATTATCGAACTCCGCTCCGTCCAATTTCATCCCCTCCACCCGCGCAAAAGACTCCTTCGCACCTTCCAAGTCCCCAATCTGAAGCTGAACATACCCGAGCCGCGACACAAGAAATGGATCGGATGGATTCGTAATAAGCAGCTCACCGATTAAAGCCAGTGTAACGTCAAACTCCCGGTGGATAAAATGGTTACGCGCGACAGATCCAAGAACAATGGCCTCGCGGCGGCGCCATCTGTCTCCGGATCGGGCGCGAGTAAAGCCGAGGAGGGAGTAGAGACGATCAAGAGACTCGGAGCGGTTGCCGATGCGCTGGGGGAGATCAGCATAGAGAAGGCGGATGGAAAAGGGGAGCATGGAGCCATGGAAGGAAGGGTAAGTTTCGGGATAAGAGTCGTATAGGAAGCGCGGATGGTCGAAAGGGTCGTCCGGATTGTCGTCGGCGGGGGAAAGAGAGTCGATCTCAAGGGAGGCATCGGTAAAGCGGCGGAGCTTGTGGAGGGCGAGGGCATTGAAGGCGAGGTAGACGAGGTGCTCGTGGGGTTTAGAGAGAAGAGAAGTGGTGCGTGCGTGGGAGACTTTATCGAGGACGGAGAGCCATTGGCCGCGAGCGGCGATGTCAAGAAGGTAGTTGAGGTCTGGAGCTAGGTCGCCTGGCGAGGAGAAGCGGGCGAAGGGAGAGAGGGGATCTTCTAGAGTTAGATTTTCCATGCTAGCGGCGGAGTATGATTTTACAAAAATCTAAAATTTATGGGGTATATGTGAACAACTCTATAGTATGATGAAGACGATGTTATATCATTGAACTTCATATTCTTTCATGAAGAACTCGAATATGTTGTTATTGTCATATCACTCTAATGATAACTTGTGATTTTAATTGGATGATAAATTTATAAGGTATACATCTGATTTAGGGTCCGTTTGGGACAGCGTTCACAGCGCTTCGCGGTGGTCGAAAGCGAAATTTTAATGTTTGGTTCGGCGTCCTGCTCGCGGTGGGACGCGAAGTTTGCGGAAAGCGCGCCGCAGGTAGAACCCAGCGACCAGTGTTCGCGGGGGAGATGTTAGCAACGATCGTCCATAATACCCCTCTCGCCCCGCCCTAACCAGAAATCTTTTTCTCAACGTCGAAAGGACCTTCTTCCCCCACCGTGGAGATGTTAGCAACGATCGTCCATAATACCCCTCCCGACCCGCCCTAACCAGAAATCTTTTTCTCAACGCCGAAAGGGCCTTCTTCCCCCACCGTCGTGTTTCTTCGCTCGACTCCCGCTTGCCCTCCTCCCTCACTGTAGACGCTTGCCCTCCTCCCTCACTGTAGACTCAGGTATCCTCTCCCCCCTCCTTGTCGCTCCCTCGCTCCCTCCCTCCCTGTGGCTCCCTCCCTTTCTGTCCCTCTCTTCTAGTGATGGTGATGGTTTAGGGCATGTAGCACTTATTATCATTCCAAAGATATTACTTTGTTTTCCATAGATTCTTGCTTTGTGGATTTTTTTCTGTTCTTAAAGATAGTGAATTCCATGGCTTGACTTTATATATTAGGCTATCGTATTACAGACCTTAATGGTTCATATTTGTTTACAATCTATGTTAAGTAATGTTGCTTCCTCTCTTTGTAGATTAAAGCACTGTAGATTGAATGAGGTGGCTAAAGAGTCAGAGCTTATTTTCCAATGTGATTACTGGAGTTGGTTCCTTCTGGCAGCGACGTATAGAAAGATGCTTAAATAATTGTTGTTGTATTAAAAAAATGATGAAAGGAGGAGATTATGATGAGATGCATAGATTGGCAAACAAATGAAACATCTATGACAAACAAATGAAGCAACCTTTTTTCACCAGAACAATTCCAGCTGAACAAGTATGGCAAACAAATGAAGCATCTATGCAGCCACCAATCACTCAATATGAGGAGGGATTTTTATATCCACAAACGCCTGAAGAGGCAAACATGATCTTTTTTATTATATCTTTTACTTACGCGACCTGTACATTTATTTTACTAAATGCTTTTCTGAATGTGTGTGTTGATGGATTATTGTCACATTGATTCATGAAGTCTATTTTTGTCGGTACTGAAAGCTTCAGATATTCAATTAGAAGGGATTTTTAACTTGAAAGGTTAGGAAGGTTGAGGAGTGGATCAATGAATATTCATTCTAATGTTTTTTTTTTTTTAATCCTGGAAGTATTATATAAGCAATAGTTTACTTATTTACATGAAGTAAAAAAGGCAGCATTAGAAGGGCGAAAATAGCAGTAATTGATTATTGATATGTTGTAGTATGATAATGGCTATTAAATCATGGAGGAATTCTTGACTAGAGATTCATGTTTTGGATTTTGTTAGATTATAAATTAGCAGCGATAAAGTAATTGATTAGCATTGGCTTTGGTTTAATAAATTTCTATTTTCTTCAAGATCTACTCCTTTTATGCTTTAAAGAGATGGATCATAAAATGGTCAATAATGGGTAATACAATGGCGTTTTGTTTTGTTTATAAGAGGGTCTGCGGAGTGAGATGATAAATCTGCTTTTTTTTATTTTTCTCATTTAATCATATCATAATTTGAGTTAAAAAAGCCTTTCTTTCCCACTTTGAAATGCACAAAAAATAAGAAAATAGTTTGATTATTTGTTATAATTTAACTAATTTGTTGTTTCGTTTGCGTCTTAGGGCAAACTGGCACCTCTTCTTGCAAGATCAAATTTACTTATCACAAGGGATATAAAATGAGCAAATATTATGTTTTCTTTTGAACAGGTATTGTTTTTCAATTGTGCTTCTAGCTTTATGTAGTATATAGATGGATTTCCATATATTAAATTTAACAACCTTTTTTTAAACAGTCTTACCAAAGAAGGGCAAAATTATCATTTTTTCAGAAACAACTGCTCTGCAGCTGTTTTTACACATTTGTACCAAACAGACAACCAGTTTCCTCGCAGCTCCTTCCCCGCAGCAGCTTCTTGGGGCAGCGCAGCTGCAGCTGAAAAGTTGTGAAGCTGCAGCTGCGCCAAATAGACCCTTAGAATATGCTTTTTCATCTATTCATTGGATCATATGTGCTATGTGAAAATGAAATAATTATAACTAAATTTTGGGTTTTTTTCCTTTCTATAAAAAATTTTAAAAGAAACTTAGAAAATTCTAATAACAAATAAAGTCTAAAGGACAATATTAAAACAGTGGAGTTAGAACTCAAAAATATGTATAAGTTGAATAAGGAAGAAGACCTAAACATAAAAGAAAAATCAAAATTTTCATCGACAAGAGCGTCAAGAGTTGTACATCGCTAGGTATCCGAAATGATGGACCATACCGAATAAATATTCAACTAATATTTGACGTGAGAGGAGGGAATTAGAGAAAAAAATCAATAGTTGTAGCTAGCTTTCATTCAATATAGGAATTCAGCAAATAAGAGAAAATCATCAATTAATAATAAATCGGTGGTTTTCCGACAGTCAAAAGGGTGTTGTTTTTTTGTCTTGTTGGTAATCTAAGGAAAGGCGATATTTTTGACAGTTTTTATCATTTGACGGCTTTCTGATGGTCATAATCATGGACTTAAATTGAAAGCATCATGGTCGATTAACCAACAGATATGTTCGTAGTCAGTTAACCGACGAGTCAAAACCAACGGCTTATGTCCAAAGCATGAGCGTAGGTTATGCGTCAGTTAACTATCGGTTAAATAAATGATCGTTGTAAGTTGTTGATTCATGTCAAAAGAAAATAGAAATTCATTTTGTCTCACTTAAATTTGTAGCATCATAACCGATGAGATTTAAGTCGTCAATTTGTTTATGGATCGTCGTTTAATCGTCAATTTTAATCGGTCAAATGAACAACGGTCCATAGCTCTAGATTCATAAAAATGAAAAATGAAAGATTGTCGCTTGATCGTTGGAAAACTATAGATAAAATAATAATAAATAGCTTTTTCACATTATAATTTTCATACATGTAATAATAGCACAAAAACATATTCAATTATATATCGCACAATCTAGTTTATCATTCCAAGTAGTTATTAAACTAAAATAAGTTGAATGAACACGTGAATTAAACATAGAAATAATTGTAATGCATTGAACCAGTAACTTAAAATATTTTTACATAGGAATAACATGTTTGGATGTCTCGTAAAATAAAAATAAATAAAAATAGTCATAATCCTCTCGTCATCCTTCTTAAAATATTCATTCTCTCGTCATCCTTCTTATCGATATCCTCCTCCATCAGTTGTTTCCCTCTTAAGCGTGTCTGAAGTCAGAATGCATCTAATTTCATTTCTAATGAAGACTTTATGTGGGCGAGTTGAGCAATAAATTAAGTTTCAATATTAGCATTGAATGCGACTACTAGCCTACGAACCTCCTCCTCCTGAGCGATCAAAGTAGACGCATTGAAAGCGCTAGAGAAGCGATGAGCATCGTACGGTTGTGCCTGCGAACTAAATCCATAAAATTTCCTTTCTTTTTTCTACCAGCAACCTTTGTTTATAACTCGTGGTTGGACTAATCACAACCCGAGATCGTAAGTCCTCTTGTGTGCTGAGTCTGGTTCTCCTTCAATTGCTGGAATGTTTTCCACAAAAAAAAACTATAAAATAAAATTAGATGCAAAATTAAATTAAAAAAATGTGAATAACAAATCTCATTGGATCTTTAACTTTGTTTTCTGCGAATCTCCTTCAAGTCTAGTATGACATTCATCTTATCCTTAATTTTTCTGCAATGTCCATCATATTGCTTAAAATATTATCAAAGAAAATTTTCTCAATATGCATGACATTAAGATTATGTCAAATCGTATTACTCCTTCAGTAAAACAAATCCAAAAAAAATTAACATTTTTATCCAATTATGAGTAACATCAAAACTAAGGGTACAACTTTAAAGAAAGTTCAAGACAAACAATAATATTTGAAATATCACTAACATTCTCAAATAATGTATACCCAACTATTATTGGATGTAGCACTGATTTTTCAACATTATTTTATTTGAACGCATTTTTGTTTCGCATAAAAGTGTGTTCCACATGTAAAAATAAACGATGACAGTCAAATCATAATTTTTTTTGGTAGTGTTGAAACGTAAATGCCTTTGACAATTTCATGCAATATGAGCAACCTAACTTTTCCATATTACTTCATCCAAATAACATTTCATAAGCCAAACAAATACTTATTGTCAACATTAAAGTTGCTTTCATTCAAAAGTTTTGTTTCATAGAAATGACATAAGTGATGACACATATTTCACAAAGAATTTGTGGCTAATATATTAGTGACTGAAAATATACATCAATTCTTTATTTTGGGCTATTGGACATGAAATAATCAATATCAAAAAGAATAATAAAGTTGTTATACACATCTCAAGAAGATTATATGGAGTAATGATCACTGCTAACAAGGGTAGAGAAAGATAGTATGTTTGTACGGTATGAAGCTATCAAAGCATAAGTCAAGTCTAACACTACGTGCTTATGCAAAAAAATTCAGGATATGCATGATCAAATTGTTTCCATGCTTCTTCATCCACGCGATGACTCATTAAATATTTTATATGTTATGATGTCATCTCATATGTGCAGCAATACGCAGAGAAGCAAATAATTTTTGAAGATGTGAAATAAGTGGTAGATAAAAGATATGCTTGTATGAAACTTTTTTATCTCTTATTTTTTTTTTATTTTGAATTTTGATTCTATGAAACTCACAAAATCTACA